GTCGTCTCCAAGCATTATTAAACAGTTATAATATTGAATTCGAATATAATCACTCGAACAGAGTGAAAAGGCCGTTTAATACGTGCTTTGCAGGGAAGTAGATTGTATATCACATTATAATAGCTCACTGTAGAGAGACTTCCCTTGGCAACAGGCCCACCTTTGATGCTAATATTGGATACCGAGAGTCTATATATATATATATGTATAGAATTTATGTGATATTTTTCATAAACTCTAGTACATTTTGTAACACTATTTTCATGAACTAATTCCTAAAACGTATTTTTTTAGAAGGTACGTAAATAAACCTCTTATTTTGGATACCTAATTTTTTTTTATGTTTATTATTATTTTTTTTACTAATAACTAAGAACTCACTGTGTTTATGTTGTGTTTTGGTGAGCATAAATAGAACACGAACTCATCTCCGAGTTGTGGTTGTTTGAAGAACACAAATTATAAAATTATTAACTAAGTGGGTGAAATGTAACAGTGCCTCCTCCTGCCAAGTTTTTGTCGGCGTCATAGCTGTGGAGTAATACAGGTCATTTAGAGCTCGTCAGTGAGCAAAGATCACGAGAAACTCAAGCGAGTCACGTGACGCTGAGGGTACGTCATGCCGAGGTGGTGTCATCGGCGACAACAAACAACACTGAAGTTTCTGAGCGCGAGCCCTACAGGAGTCGCCACGGCGTGCTATCCGGGAAGGAACGCAATCCACGCTACGGGCTCAGGTACGTCCGTCAAAGGCAAGCGTTCCAATGTAAAACAAGCGCTGAACAATACTTTCCACTCACTCTTGTTGGAGTCACTTACCGAAACAACGAGTGCTTAGGCGGCTACTCGTCAGCCTATCAGCTAGCTCCTCCCTTTCAGCGTTCGTTCCCATTAGCCGATATACGTTTCCTGTGTCGTCATTGGACGCACCATTTTATTGTAGTTACTCAGTAGTGAAAACAAAGTAAAAGCTCGCGATCCGCCCTCTCGTTCGCGGCGGCTCAGCGACTCACCCTGTAGAAGAGTTACACAACACATTGTAGACCCATTGCATGCTGGACGTGCGGCGCTTGGAACCCCCCCACCACCACCAAGAAAGTAAAGACTGTCTAACACTAATCAACCCGACCGTAGGGACACACCTCGAGACAACAGCAACAAGCGACCGGCTTCATGGTGGTACTGTAAGTACTGTTATAGAGTTCTAGTCCTAAACATACAAGTTTCATCGGTTGTGGCTTGGGGAACTTGAATATAAGTAATTTAAGAAACTCGTTTCCTTTTCAGCGGGAAAACACATTTTAAAATACCTAATTTATCATTGGTTTCGGCTCTTTCTTCTGAGGTAGACCGGTTTCGAATAATGCCATCATTAACTGTAGAGCAGAAACCGGGACAAAACCCGACTCCGTTTTGTTTTTCAGAGTAATGTATTGTTATTCATGAGTGCTAACATATTCTACAAACTGGTCTATCGCATACGAGTTGGCCGAAAAAGCAGGCAGATAAAAAATTGTTCTCGTTTTACTTGTTGTCGTTTTCTGCTCTTTAGGGTTGTAGGAATTACATGTTAATGTACAGACAGGAATTTGTATTTTTCAAGCAAACAATGAAATAATCAAATCTGATTATTAATTAATTACTCTCATTAAAATTTTTAAACAAAACAATACTTCCCACTTTATATAAGAAGTTAACTTCACTTACAATCTAAAAATCCATCCCATACAGTGTTCATGTTTTAGGAAAGCGGTAAACCTTGCGGTAGGCTTAAGGAAAGTAAACTTTGTGAATTTTATAAAACGAGGTAAATTAAAACACTTAACTTGTATGTAAAACATAACCTGTGTATTAAGTTATTAGTTTTGCAGGTGTAAGTAACGGTTTACACATTATTGTCAGCTTTAAACAATAAAAAAATATGTGCGTTTGGTAATCTATATTCATAATTGTTTGTTACGCCTTTACCAATGATTTTTGCACTGATTCAAGGCTTAACTTCACCAATCACCAGTACTATCTTTTGTAAAGCAAGTTATGTAATGTATAATAGAACGGTTGGATAGTGTGTAATTGTTTCGTATTTAGAAAGAAGAAACGAATATATAAACGTAGTACCGTATATTAACTATGTTGTTAAAGAACCAAGGAATATATAAACGTAGTACCGTATATTAATTATGTTGTTAAAGAACCAAAGAATATATAAACGTAGTACCGTATATTAATTATGTTGTTAAAGAACCAAGTAACATATAAACGTAGTACCGTATATTAAATATGCTGTTAAAGAACCAAAGAATATATAAACGTAGTACCGTATATTAAATATTCTGTTAAAGCGAAATATTTTGTTTGCAAGTGTACAAACTGTTTTTGCTAAGAAAGTTTTCCTGATCACAATTTTAAAGCTGGAGTAACGAAAGGTTTTTATTTAATGTAATAACATTGTGAGAATAACAGAAAAATCCCGACAATCTTTGTGTAGCCACAGGGCGATTATTAAGACAAACACACGTTTGTTTCTACAAAACTGTTTGTCTTATACAAGGGTACTATATCCGTCTGTGTGTTTTCTTACAGAAAAGCCACAGCGGACTATCTGCTGTGTCCACCGTGGGGAATTAAACCCCTGATTTTAGCGTTTTAAACCCGAAGACTTTACCGCTGTCCCACTGGGGGACACTAAATTAGTCAGAGGCGCACTAATACTTATAATTTATATCTGGGGAAGTCTGGATCTTTAAAAGCACGTATTTTCACTTGTTTTTGATCAGCACGTTAAGCCTATCCTCAAATGAAAGTATCATTTGTTATGGACAATATTCATTGGGCTTCACAACATATCCCCCGATGAATCAGCGGTAGGTTTAAGAATTTATACCACTAAATCCGGAGTTTGATTCCCCGCGGTGGACAGAGCCCAGATACCCTGTTGAGTAGATTTGTTCTAAAACAAATAAACAAAAATTGGCATTTCCAATTTCACGTGCATTTGATTCAATCTCGTGTTAGGATTGAAAGAAGAGAAATATTCCGACTTTCCTGATCTCTTGTGAAGTACTGTTACTTGTGGTTAAGAGGTGGTTTTAAATGTGGAGTTTATTTATAACATCCTGCATTTTGTTCCTCAGTTTTCTTCTTTCTCACGTCTGCCCCCAGTGATTCAGTGGTAAGCCTGAAGGCTTATAACGCTAAAAATTGGGTTTCGATCCAGTGGTGTACACAACAAAAATAGTCCATTGTGTAGCTTTGTGTTTAACAAGAAACAAACATATTTCCAATATTTCAAGTAGGTCGTAATGAGTTAATGAATATTCTGTGGAGTTTTTATCTTAACAGAACGAGTGGTGGTGATATCTGTCGGGTTTCCTAGTGCAAAGTTAACAGGCTCTTCTAAGTTTTACCTTTCCCGATCTTGTGACACACAATAAACGCTCATAATATCCGTATTTTCCGGTATTTAGTGCAAGTCGCTACAAAGTTAACAGTTTCGACCACAAGTTTACCTTTCCGGATCTTGTGACACACAATAAACGCTCATAATATCACCGGTATTTAGGGCTATGTAGTTGAGATATCTACTTTCGAATATCTTAACCAGAAAGAATTTTTAGTTTTATACATTTTTTTCGTGTACATTGTAATGTCTGTGAATATAAAGAACCCTCCTACTGGTAGTCGCCTCGTCAGTCATTTAAAAAAAAATTTGGTCCTCGAAATGCTTAAGTCACACATGGTTTAACTCTTATAGCAGGAGCTTATTCGAAATTGTTGAACGGTACAGTACTATAACTTTATTAACGGGTGGCGTAGTCAGGGTACGAATTGAAGGAGTTACTTAAATCTAAGGTTGGAGAAATTAGATTAGAAAAGACGTTTAAATCTATAGGGGAAAATACTACATGCAGATGTGGAAGCAACACTATTTGATGGAATGCACGAAGCACGTGCTTGAGATCATGAATTGCAGAATAACCAACATTTTTTATCTAGTTGGATTGCTTCATAATTAATTTGATCTATGGCTTTTTCTTTTGTCCTTTTCAGCCATGTCTGTCTTGTAGTTACACAGTTACGTTTATCTTGTTTTCGTGACCACATGTTTTCTGTAGCATATATATGCAACCGTAACGTGAGACTTAATATTTTGAGAGGAGCCGTGATTGGCTCATGTAGTGTGTGTTCTGCACCCTCAAGAGACTTGACCAGTGATGGCCTTGACTCTCTTCACAGTTGTCGAGAGTACCCCTGTCGCCTGGTTAGTGTCCTGGGAACGAGGTTTTCATGGCGGACTTTCATTAATGTTCCTGTTAGCGGCTTTTGTTTAGAGAGATTGTGGCTTGCGTAAACTTAAACTCTGGCTCCACGGTGTTTGATGTGATCGAGTGTTTTATAATGGATGTTTCCTTCCCTCAATAATTACGCACATATATATATATACGAACTACACTTACGTTACATTAATGTAGTGCCAAGCTCTCCATAGATACGCGCTAGAGATTATTACATATATATATATATATATATATACGAACTACACTTACGTTAGAGATTATTACATATATATATATATATATATATA